AACACCGTATATACAAACTTGTTTGTTTGAAAAAAGATTTAAAATTTGATTTAATTAAAGATTTAATAATTTGATGATGATTTATTTTTTAAATTTTCTTTTCATAACATAATTTTCTTTTTTTTTTTTTTTTATTAAGTAACAAAAGAGAGACACAATAAAAGAAAGGGAAAATAACAACAACTACCGGGTTGTTTGTTTAAAAAAAAAATTAATTTGTGGTTGTTGAGTCAGTTTTTTTTTCTTATAGAGATACATTCGGTGAAGGACACATTTAAATGTTTTATATTTAAATCCATCATAAAAAAATTTCGACACCGTGAAACATCATCATCATCATCATCATCATTATTATTTTTTCTTAATTCGGATTGTTTTTATGTAATCGATGAAGTGTGTAATAAATAAAATCAACCGGAAGTGATGGATTAACAATGGCAAATTTATCCGTGCTAAAAAACAGTAAAAAAATTTTACGTACGAAAACTAAAGAGAACATAACTATACAGGTGTGGCTTTTTTTTTGTATAAAAAAAAATATAAATCGCGTGTTTGTTCTTTCGTCTGTCTGTCCGGTCGTCTGTTTGTTTGTTTGTCAACATTGAAAAGTTTTTTTTTTTTTCAGGGGATTCCCATTAACTTTAAAACAAGTTTAAACATGCTTTGTTGTTACGAACTCAAATACCTGATTTAAATACCCGTTTCTAACATGGTTAGGCCCTATCATTATTATCATCATCATCATTATTATTATTATTATTATTAAATTAAATTTTTTTTTTTTTGATTCGATTCAGTCGGTAGCTCACGATTTTTCCTATTATTATTACGATTATTTATTTGTTTATATTAATTGAATAAAATCCAAAAAAAAAAAAGAAAAATCGTTTGTTGTTATTATTTAAACGTGACTTTATTGTTTGTTTGTTTGTTTTTCCGATTGTTTAATTTATTTATATATATATCGATGATATTAAATAAATTATTTGTTTTTTTTTTTAATTAAATAATAATAATAATAAAATCGTGTTCGTACTTTGGATTATTACAGTCGATTGGTAAACGTCTAAAAAAAAATTAGAAAAATCGTTTGTTATTGTTATTGTTTTTTTGGGGGGGAGGGGGAGGTGGGCGGGGGCGTTGTTTCGAGGATTTAGTTTAAAAAATAATAAAAATATTTTTTTTTGAAATTAGGTCGGATGCATAAACGACGAGTTTGTTTGTTTGTTTGTTGTCGGTCGAATTAAAATTTTAGAAATCCGTTTAACGTTCCGAATTTCATCTGTCGTTGTTTGTTTGTTTGTTTCTTTTGAGATTGATTTAAAAAAATTTGCGACAGTTTAAACGATTATGGTTTTTTTTTTTTTATCAATCAAACATTTGGTTGTTTGTTTGTTTGTGCATTCGTGTCCCGCGTGGAAAAGATTAAACGTAATGAAACATTTGGAGAAACGATTAAGAACGGAAAATTATTTATTATTATTATTATTATTATTTTTAGTTTCCAAATCATCTAGCTAATGTTTTTCTTATTAGGGAATAATAAATCATGGGGGGAGAGGAGGGGAGAGGGGCGGCATAATTACAATCATGATATTATCGAAACGAAAGAGTGAGTGTAAATCGTACCCCCCGCGTCCCTTTTGCCATTTTTAATTTTTTGTTGTTACTAAATTTGTTTCATAACATTTAAAACAAATGATACATTGTGTGTGCGTGAGTGCGTGCGTACCTGGTTCTCAAGGTTTTTAATTAAATGTGAGAGAAAACTACTTAAAAAAAAAAGATTTAATCATTTTTTTAGTAAGAATGGCCCAAGATTTTGCCCTTGAAAAAATTTAAAAAAAAAAAAGAAAAAAGAAAATTTTTATTTAAGGAAACTAGTTTTCAAAAATACGCCGATGATGATGATGATGGTGATTGTTCGCCGTTTTTTTTTTTTTTTCGTAAAGCTTTGCGTAAAAATTGGTTTATGAGGTTTTTTTTTTTTTTTTATTAACATTTTCCGAAAGTTTTCCACAGCGAAATGTTAATGGAGTGATTAAAAGTTATAAAAAAAAAAAAAGAAAATTTTATTGCATGCTGGAATACATTTTAATTTTTTTTTTTTTTTCCCGAACAAGGTCACAGTTACGGGGGGCAAAAGGTCAAATGTTGTCGTCCGAATAAAAATTAAAATGTATATATTTTTGATTCGATTCGGGAATTTAATTGTTTCTCTCTCCCGGAATCATGTTGTTATTAACGACGTCAACATTTTAATTTTTAAAAAATCAATTTTTCCAATTGGGAAAAGTTCGAATTTTGTGGGAGGAAAGGAGGGGAAAAAGGGAGAAAGATGAATGATGTGGAAGAAGGTAAAAAAAAAAAAAACACGTGAAAAAATAATTAGAAAAAAAAAAAAAAAAGAAAAAAATTTTGTGAGAATTTTTGATGCTTGTCGTTTCATTATTATTATTATTAATTTTTTTTAAAGAAGAAATGAGGAATTCCGTAAAAGTGCGTGAGTGCCGTAATTGGTTTTTTTGTTTACGCAAAAGAAAACGCGCTCGCGCGTGTTTGTCGTGTAGAAAAACAAAAATAAAATAAATAAAAATAAAATTTTTTTTCTGTTGGGCTTTCGGCCAAAATCCGCATCTTTTCTTCCTTTACCCCCCCCCCGCTCCCCGAATCATCTCGTCACGATCTTTGTTCGGTTCAATTTATGCACGATGCATGTGTATTTTACGTGCGTGCGTGCGTGCGTGCGTGCGTCTTCCACGTTAAAATTGT